GTCTAGGATTGTCTTGATCTTCTGACCTTGTGATCTGCCCGCCATGGCCTCCCAAAGTGCTGAGATTACAGGCATGAACCAGGGTGCCTGGCAGTTCTGTCTCTTTTGCAATCTTTCTGACACAAAGGATGGTATATTTACAGAATGTTTTCTGTTGATAAAAGGAAAGATGTTAGTGCTGGCGAAAGCACATCATTACCAATACTGTTACCTCTTCTCTATTAGAGATCACTCTCCATCTCCTTCTTCTTAATTTCTACTCTCGGTAAAAGAGAGGTAACATAAGACAAGTACTGTTGAGAGGGGTGAGGAGAGATTTGAGAACAAACAAATGTGGGTGGCTGATACCAGCCTGGCTGGGTGGAAAATGCAGAATGAGAGCAGCCTTGGTACTGAACATCACCAGGAGAGCCCTGGATCCTCCCTGGAGGAAGCAGAGGAGGGCAAGCAAGGCATTGAACATGACAAGAATACATACATTCAGCCTGATTATTTTTCTTATGTTGAGCTCTGCTGAGTGCTGTGAATGCAGGTCCTATCAATAGCAAATGATGGCTTTGCCTTTAGCTGCCCTAGATTAGTATAAACACTTGGTTATGCCCTGGTCTAACCAAAAGTTACAATAACACTCACAGAGAGATTCAATTAGCTTAACAAATTATCAATTTGTAGAGTTCCTTGCACATGTAGTAACATGCCCACAAAGCATCTCTTTGTGATCCAGCAGCTGTCCCGTCCTCAATTCACAGCTTCATTAATCATGTGCTCTGCTTGCTGTTGTCTAAATTACAGAGCCATTTTAGATGAGAAAAACACTACAAGGAAATGTTGCCTACGCTTTAAGAAGTGGAAAGGGCCACAAATGAGAATGGAAACATATTTTTCAATCAATGTTAACACATTTTTGTTATTTTTAATTACAGTTTAACATAGCCACATGGTTTTATATATATAAACATTACATATTATTATTATATATACATATTATACATAAACATTCCAGATAATTTTTGTATTTTAGTAGAGAAGGGGTTTCACCATGTTGGCCAGGATGGTCTTGTTCTCCTGACCTCATGATCCATCCGCCTTGGCCTCCCAAAGTTCTGGGATTACAGGCGTGAGCCATGGCACCCCGCAGTTCTGTCTCTTTAGCAATCTTTCTGACGCAAGTGATTGTATATTTGAAAATATGTATATATAACAATGTGAGTATGTTAAATTGTACTTGAAATAATTATATATTTGTTATAAAATAACAACTGTATATACATAATTATAACAATTTATATACATATAATATAAAATATGTATAGAAAACTATATATACAATATAAGATTTGATTTTGTATATAAAATCAATATAGCAAGATATAACTTTCAATCACATATAATTATATATCTAATATAAATTGTATATATAATTATACAATAATATATATTTAATATAAATTATATATAATTATAAAAATATATTTTATAAATTGCATATATATTTGTATAATTATACAAATACAATTGTATAATTATTGTATTTGTATAATTATACAAATATATATGCAATTTATACAATTATAAAATAATTTTATGTATAATGATCTATACAATAACACCAGACTGTCAGCAGTATTTTTTTTACTTTCTTGTGTATTGTTTCACTAATAATTTTTTGCATGACAGATGTCTTAAACTAAGTCAAAAAGAAAAAGAGAAAGCAGCTGTTTCCACAGAGTGATTTTGCTGTTGCACTTAGAGAAAGAACAGTTGATGTCACTATGTGGAACGCTACTGCAAACTGATAAACCAGATATCACAAGTTAAGTTCAAAGCCGTGAGTGTGACCTGTCTAGCAAGTGAGTTATTCTGCTTCTTGGCTTCCTCTTGTTGCAGGAAGAGATGAGGAAATGAGGCTGAGGAATTCAAAGCTTCTCTAGTGCCTATGTCTGACCTTCTTTTCAGCCTATAAAGGTCGGAAGGTTGAAGTGGCAGATATTGTAGTTGCTGGATTTGTTTTGGCATCAGGAGATAGAGTATATTCTTCTGGAGAAGCTAAGATGTCCTTACTCCAGGACAGAATTCTGATTAACATAAGCTAATCTCAGTACTTTTTTTTCTCTGATTGTTTCTGTTTTATTTAGGGAGAGGCATGTGATGTAATTCTGGTCAAAGATTTCAAGACCCTTTGCTGAAGTCCTCTGGGAAAGTTCCCTTTTTAGAGACAGGATCCCACATTGTCACCCAAGCTGCAATACCTAGCTCCCCACAGCCTCCATCTCTGGGGCTCACACGATCCTCCTGCCACAGCCTCCCAAATAGCTGGGACTATAGGCATGCATCCCCACACGTGGCTAATTAAAAAAAATTTTTTTGTGTGTTTTTACAGACAGGGTCTCACTATGTTGCCCAGGCTGGCTCAACCTCTTGGCCTCAAGTGATCCTACTGCCTTGGCCTCTCAAAGTGCCAGGATTACAGGCTCGAGCCACAGCAACTGGACTGGGAAAGTTGTATTTGCTCTTAAAAGAGAGCTCAGTCAAAACCTTCTTCTGTTTTCCTGTCTTTGGATATCATGTTGCCTAGAGCTACTGCAGCCAAGCTGTAGTCTGAAAAGGAGAATCCAGTATACTAAAGCCACTTGAGCAGAAAGGTGTAAATGTAGACATCACAGATGTAACTGAGCTGTTGAAGTAACCAATCCTGAAACTACCCCACTTCTCTAGTTCTTCTTGTGAGAACCAGCATTAGCCAGCTTTCTGTGCATGTTGCTTTTAGATTTGCACTTCATAGCTTTTCCTCCTCATAATAAAACAGTCTGACACAAAATCTGACACACTAGGGGTTCTGTGTTTCAGTGAATACAGGTAGGAGTTAGAGACCAAGGACCTGAATAGTATTTCCTAACTTGGAGATCCAGAACAAGTTACTTAATTTCATTTATTCATTTATTCAGTCAGTAAGTCAGACCACAGACACTTACTGGCTCTGTATTCTGCCCATATATCTACAGTTTTCAAGGGTAAAGGGAGGAGCACATAGGGCAAAACAGGCAGGCAGCCGAGATGGTTGTGAGCTGTACCACAGAGTGCCAGGAGTGGAAGTTTCCACCTTCTCCTGGTATTGGGAGAAGATACTAGGAGAACCCAACTTATGGGTTCTTCCCCAAGTAGTGATACTGGGCAGGTGATACATATGGATGTGTAACTAGGTGATGCTTTTCTCAGTGGTGATTCCCAGCAAAGTTAGAAGAAGAAGTAACATTTAAAATCTAGAACATCTCTCAAGTATACAAGTTCAAGTTAAGCTTTTTGTACATAAGGAATTTTCTTGGTGTTGTGCTGGAGCCATGCATACAGACTCAAGAGAGCCAACTGTACATCAATCAGGACTTTTTTTTCTTGTCATTTTTCTCCCCAAGCAAGCCAGTGTGTTACATCTTATTCAATAATATAATCAGTTGTCTGTAGCAAAATTTCTCTCAAACTCTCCTCAGAATGTCTCCTAACTTGGACATAGGTAGACTGTGGAATTCACAAGATCTTTTTTTGTTTGTTGTTTCTTCCTCTTATTTTATGGTCATTAGCAAAAAAAAAAAAAAGATCTTATGAAGACAAACAGGAGTAAAATATGTACAGTGTGGCTTGCTCAGGTACATTCTATTCTTTTGTCTTTTCCTATTCTTATGGCTTAAAAATGCACGAATTGAAGTTTTATTATGATTTTCTCTCGGGTTGGTCTCTCAATAAAATCTCACTCTTTGTCACAAGGACTAACTGACTTGCACATATTCTTCTGGATTTACTAATATAAATATTCTACTATTTGTCTTTAAATCTATCCTTTCTTCTTATGTAATAGTGTTCTCAATAATAGGGTTGATGGTGATAAAAGACTGTAGCAAATCTAGTAATTCATCGTGGCAGTTCAAGGAGATGCACATGTCAATGTGTTATATGTTACCTGTTACTTATTCAGCTACTAATTCTAAGTATTGATAAATGTAACTGTGGATGAGTTCCTAAGAAGTAATAAAGCATTCCAGTTTAATGGCATCACATTCTAATACAAAAGACAATTTTTTAATGCCTTGTTTTATTTTATAAACCTGTCATACTTGTCTGTGTTAAATCAACATATACACATAAATGAAGATTTAAAATATGTCTGAGATGTTTAAAATATATCTGGCAGTATGTTCAACATTTTAAATTGTATTCAGCATCACACAATGTAGAACGGTATACCTAATCCACCCCTGGGCACCCAAAACAATTGAAATAATCCACCTGCCTCAGCCTCCCAAAGTGCTGGGATTACAGGCATGAGCCACTGCGCCCAGCCAAGGTCCTGTTTTTCAAAACAAGTAGGGAATCAGATAATTAAACAAGCAATGACTTACAGTGTAGTCAGTAATGTCATGGAGAGTACCCTTAGCATGTGGGTAACTTAGTCTATTTAACCACTTGTGATACTTTAGAGAGAAGTCAAAAGAGATCCTTGGGAAAGTAAGGTTTACACTGATAAATAAAATAATATTTTGCATTAGTCAAAGGAGATGAAATTAGGTTTGGGAGAAGGGGTATTGGGAGGGTTTCTTGGGCAGACAAAAGAATGCTCTTTTATTTTAATGAAGTCAGTCCAAAGAGAACATGATGTAGGAATATAGTTGAGGATTTTTCAAAGTATCATCTTAATTTTTTACAGTATTTTACTATATACTGCTAAAGTATAGTTTCTAAAAAACATTTTGTTTTCTGAATTCTGAAATTCAGAGAGAGAGCCTGATCGATACTGATTTTTAATAATTCCAATGCAAAGTAAATTGTTCACCTTCTGTATTAGGGTGTGTGTGTGTGTGTGTGTGCACGTGCACGCCTGTGCTTATCAATACAGGAGATGGGCAATAATGACTACTGACAAGATGGAAGGTTATATAATGTTGGCAGGGCATGGAAGGAGTCATTTTTACCTCACAACAGGATATAGAATGGCATTTCATGACACTTACCTGGGCCTTCACTCGCGGTATTTCGGTGAGTGATCCCTGGAAGAGTGTTAAAAACAACACCTAAGTCTTAGAGCTTATGAAGTGGTTATGGAGGCTTCTCCAAGGCGAAGAGGCTGTGTTTCCATCAAATAGCCTTTTACCATTACCTTCGTTTTTTGCGAAGCCTGTCAAGGACACAATGCTGAAGGGTGCATGTCTTGGTTTCTTTAGGATGGTGGGTGCTTTGCACAGTAATAAATCTTTGTTGGAAGCTCTGAAAAGTTTCTTTCCTCTTCGGTCTTTGACTGTTGGTAGGTAGCCTCACTGCATTTACATCAAACAAGTGGACAGTTTCCTGAAACTGAGCTTTTTCAGCAATCATTCTTGAAAGTGATGTTTCTTTCCTTTGGTGGTTTCATAGACTTTCCAAAGAAACATGACTTTTTTTCCCCTATATGGTGACTTATTTCATGCACTGTTTATAAATGTGTGTACGTATGTATGTATGTATGTATGTATTAACTCATTCAGCGGAAAGGTGTCCATCGTCCACTGTGTGCCAGGTGCCCTGGTAGGTGCTACGGATACAATTTTAGACAGGAGAGAATGGAAGATGATCTCTGACCTCATGGGATATACAAGCTGGGAGGACTTCAAATGAGTATACAAATTTCAAATACAGAGCAGAAGCTTTATATACATATAAAGGGAATTTGTTACAGAGATGCACATTTACCCGACGGTGGAAGCTGGTCTCTGTAAGACTGAGGTTGGAGCTTCAGGTCTATAGAGTGGGCAGTTGAGAAAGAAAACGGACGTAAAGTGAGAGAGAGCAAGAACAAGCTGGAAGCATGAACTAAAGCCCACGAAGACCGGAAACCATGTCCATTTTTGTTGCCTCTGCTGTTGGTAGTGCAGATATCCTGCAGGATCCAAGGTCCTTCTTCACAGGCTAAACATACACACCTAACCAGAAGTTAGAGGCTGGGAAGGAGCATACAGGGGAAGCAGGTGCAGCTGCGAAGACTCGCTGCAACTCGCAGTGGGAAGCGAACCGCAGAGCAGCACCAATGTACCCGAGAGAGAAAATGGCTGCCGCTTCACTTCCTGCATTCGCCGTCTCCCACAGGAGCCCCTTCTGTGTCTCTAACTGAAAACTGACTGCAGAATGGGGAATTCTGGGAAATGCAGATCAGTGGCACCAAATTAAAAACACGTTAAAACGCCACTGCAGTTGTGTTACAAAGCAGGATGGTGGTTATGGCTGGCAATGGGAGGGGAAAAGGCCTCTCATATATTAGTCACTTCCTGTTTGGGGATCTGGATGCTGTTACATAGGTATGTTCACTTTGTGAATTTTTTTTTTTACTGATCTATTTTCTGTGTGTAGGATGTACTTCAATAAAAAGTAATTAAGAGGCAATTAAAAACCCAATAATCACAAACACAGGAAGCATTATAAAGTGGGGGAAATATAGATACTATGAGAACTAATAAATAGAGGTAACCTAACTAGGAGCTTAGCAAAGAGCTCTATGTAGTTAACGTTGCAAGTGAGATTCAGGCATAAGAAGCAGCTATTCAGATGGAGGAGGTAGAGAGAATTATACAGATGAAGGATGAGTCCATTTATGACCATGGCTGAATTAAGAAGAACCATGGAAAGGGCCGGAGCAATGAGGCTTGAAGAAGATGCAGAGGTCAAAAAGTGGAGAACTCTGTGCTGTGCAAAATCTTTTATTCTGGCTTAAGTCTAAGAATAATGCACTGGAAGCTTTTATGTGTGGGAGTGATCTCTTCTGAGTCTTTGGAAGTTTACTCTGCTTGTAGACTGGAGGGGGTAGGAATAAAGGCAAGGAGATCAATTCAGAGGCAGTTGCAATGCTCAGGACAGAGGGAGGAAATAGTTGCTAAGATTAAATGGATCAGATAGTGTTTCAAAGTGGCTATGAACAGCACAGAAAAACTGGGTTATGAATCCAGGCTCTTGTCACTTACCAGCTGATGGTTTGAGGCAATTCCTTGCCTTATGTGTGTATCAACTTGCTCACCTGTAAAATTGAGGTAATAATAGGATGTACCCCATAAGATATCACAGATTAGGCTCCTTGGGAAAGAGAAGCCCAGCAAAAGAGTGCGCAGGAGGAGTGTTGTTCTTAGATAATGAAAGAAGCAGGACTGGGCAGGGGAATGGAATGGGACCATGGAGCAGGATTGCCCCCCTCACCAAAATCCTTTCAAACTGGGAAGGGGATTTGCATTTGAACTTACACACTGTCCAGGGATTCAAAGGGACTGCAACATGGGGTGAGGCCCTTCAGCCAAGGGTGAATCCCAGAGTGGGCCTCAACTGAGAAGCTAACACTACAGACAGCTGGAGCACAACAAATGCTTCCGTCCTGGAGGGGAATCCATTTGGCACACCCTTACAAAGCCTCACAGAGGACTGTTGGGAGAATTAGGTGAGCTACTGTCTAAATGCTGCTTAGCAGACGCCTCTGTATCAAGTTAACAATCAATGTTACAAAAAGGATGATGAGGCCTATAAAGTGATGAGGCTTCCAGGATACATCTTAAAGTGGTTAAAATCAAGGTGTAAAAAATAGTGTATTTGATGTAAGAAACTTTTTGTGTGTTGGAAGAAAAAGGAAAACTAGATTTAGTAAATTTGCAAAATTAGAAACTAAGGAATTTTTTTTAAAAAACCTGATGAAAGTAGCTGTTTGTAGAGAATGCGTGTGCTTGGAGGGGTCACAAGTGTGATTTCTCATTCACAGAGAGTTCTATTTGAAAGATAGGCACGATACAGGAAAGCTTCATGAAGGGAAGTCAGACTTCTAGCTGAAACATTTTTTATGTTGTTTCAAAGTTTAAATGAAAATACATGATCTTTTAAAAAAATTACTCCAAATTCTAAAAACACCTAAAATGGAATAAAACATAGTCAAAACATATAATAAAATGGTAAGACAAAAGCAGAGTAAAAATACTCATATTAAATAACTTCACGATAAATTTACTTCATTTAAACTAAGAAAAAAATTAGAATAGCAAACAACTTTGTCTTTGCACATTTAAAAGAATGATGTTTGGGATAAGAAATAACAAAATTAAATTTACTAAGTAATTTTTGTTAAAAGTAGGGTTTTTTTAAAAAAAATGTATTGCTAAAGAAGTTTCTTTTGTTAATATTTTGAAACTAGTTTCTTTTCATCAAGGGATAATATAATTAAGAAATTGTGTTAATGATGTTAAGAATTAAGATTTTTTTTGGGTAAGGAAAAAGGAATATGATAAGAAATTGGAGAAATGAAGGAAAAGACTAAGATGTTAGAATTGAATTGAAAGTACCAACATAAACCAATGGGTTTTGAAAATCCCTGCCATCTAGCTTTTTCCAGTAAAAGAGCCTGGAAGCAACATTTCTCCAATACAGTTGAGGGCCCATAGAAACCAGAGTTTGTTTCAAAATATGATTTCCCACCTAAGAAATCAGGCTTCTTTCAGAAATGAGTGATTCCAGTTCTAGGACAAGAAAGGTAGAAGGCAAACCTGTAGATTCTAATACCCATTTATATCCACTCCTAGATATTTACCCATGAGAAGTGAAACATATGTTCTCAAAAAAAGGACTTCATAAATGCTTTATTTATAACAGCAAAAAGGGACTTCTTAATAGTTGTTTTATTTATGATAGCCAAACACAAGACAACCAAAATACCCATCTGAAGGTGAATAGGTGAATTGTGTTACGTTCATATAATGGAATACTACTTGGCAATAAAAAGTAACGAATGACTGACATGTGCAGCAGTACATTTGACAATATGTTGAGCAAAACAACCTACAGTAGGTGATTCCATTTACATGGCATTCTAACATAGTCCAAAGTAATTTAAAGGGACAACTCTCAGAAAAGGGGTTGTGTAGAATTGACTGGAAAGGAACATGAGGGTACTTTCTAGGGTTGTTGAACTTGTTTGATAACTTGAGAGGTGTAAGGACAAAGTCTCTGTATACATTTGCCAGAACTCATGGAATGACACTCTTAAAAATTTGCATTCCCCTTTATGTAAATTTTAACTTTATAAAGGAACCATAACATATCAATCCCTAATTAGTAAGTTTGGTTTTTTCACAGTAGTTTTATTAGCAACTTTGAAAGACATATGTTTTTTAGGCTTGAACAAATGAGTAACAAATTGAAAATAAAGAGAGACAGTTTTCTCACTGTTGGGAAAGGAAAGTACAAAATAAAAATGGGGGAAGACTAGCAGACACACTACCTTGCTGGACCCTGTGTTATAGCTGTAGAAAATATACTATACATTACTGAATGGAAACCATAACTCTCCATATCAATTATGGGTTTTAATAAAATATAGAGAAAAAATCAATCTAATGAATGTGTTTGTGTGTCCGTGTTTATATAATGGGTAGTAGCTATACCCAGTATATTTTCTCCAAGCTGGAATTAGTTTCTCACAATTTTTTTTACTAAATGTTTAGGACAAGGTCAGCCAGAGGAAAAGCCGAGTGAGATTTGAAAAGCAGAAATGGATCAGTAGCCATCTTTATTTCCTGAAGGTAACTTAGGGTAGGGATGTTGTGGCTCACTCACATGGTCACCAGCCTCACCTTGTTTGTATGATGGCTGCAAAGGTAGCCTCTGCCAGATCTCCTCCACCTTTTCTCCTATTCCTGGGGCAAAAGTGCTTCCTTTTCCATGTTGAAGACCACCCATTTATTATTCAGGGCATCCAATTGCTAAGTTTGGGGATGGGAAAAGAAAGAGGAGGTATGCTCTTGGTCTCCCCCACTTCATACCTATTTTCCTTCCCCATTTACTAGCCCTGGTGAATACATGCCCAACACCAGATGAAGAAGGTACAAACTTACATAAACAGTTTAACCTGCTCCCAAGATGGTTTAAGATCAAGTTACTATATTGATTTCCTTGTTGTACCTTACTTAAATTAATTCCACTTATCTGACCAAACCCTAGCTGATAATCTGGTATTAGAAATAGTTCCAGAGAAACAAACTTTAGGAATAAGTTCCTTGGATTGTTTTGGGGTTATCTGAAATTGGAGCTCTGATTGGATTAGATTTGAAGGGTTTGCTGACCATATTGTCAGTGGGAAAGGGGACACTGTTGGTCCATGACAAGCAATGGCAACACAGTTATTTATTTATTTGTTTATTTATTTAGTTTACTGGTTCTTGCTCTATTGCGTGGGCTAGAGTGCAGTGGCATGATCATGGCTCACTACAGCCTTGACCTCCAGGCTCAAAAGATTCCCCCATCTCAGCTTCACAGGTAGCTGGGACTATAGGCATGTACCACCACACTTGGCTAGTTTTTGATTTTGTGTGGCGATGAGGTCTTACTATGCTGCCCAGGCTAGTCTCAAACTCCTGAGTTCAAGCAGTTCTCCCACCTTGGCTTCCCAAAGTGCTGTGACTGCAGGAATGAGCCATCCATCACTTGTAGGTAATTGTCGTAAAGTGCCTATAGAAGGCAAAGTTTTAGGTGATTGAGTAGTTCCTGCATTTTTGTTAAAATAAGTAGTCTAATGGGTTTGTTTGATGGCTTCTCAGTGCACAGGAGAGCTTGTGGAATAACAATAAGCAGATCATAGCCATAAATTCTCAACTCAATCATGTAAAAAACCTGAAAGCTTCTATGATGTCCCTGATGGAAGCCCTTTTGTCTATAGCTACAGGGCTGAAACATGACAAACAAACCTACAGTTTAATCCTTTGGACAGCTAAATTGTAATGCTAACCTAATACTCATATTAGCTGGGTTTCTCTTGTAATATATTGTGAAAAAGTAGAACCCTGAAAATAGAATAAAGATGAAAGAATCAGTGCAGTTGGACCTGGAGATTTTGAACATGTGCATTTTCCCAAGGACATTGAGGTGGTTATTTTCTCCTTGACTGAAGAATTCTTACTGGTCTCCCCTGAGGTGATATTCAGGGGATAGCTGATCCTCTTCAGAACGTATCCCCTCCTCCACCTTTCACTGATTCTAGGGCTACAATCAGATTCAAGTCTTGTCAGGCCCCTGAAGGTAAGTTAAATAGCATGACCCATGAAGAAGTAAAATGCATATCAAAAGACTGACAATATTTTGCCAATGT